GGCCCAGGGCCTGCCTGGGTGCCCGTCCCGGCCGGGAGCGGGAGGTGGGGGAGGCAGAGGAGAGGACAAGGTTTGCTGCGTGCGCCGGGGGCGAGATCTAGACACCGGGCCCTGCCTGGGAGCGCGAGGGTTGGGGCATCCCGGTGTGCCAAGAAGCTGCGCTGTGGGGCTGCTCTGGGGTGCTTTGGGTTTGTTTTCCGCGTCCTGCTTCGTGCTGACGGGGTCTCTTTGTCCTATTCGTACTGTTCCCCCGACATGGCCGTAGCACTTGGAGATCGGTTAAGCAATAGATTTTTCTGTCTGAATCGCCTCTCCAGTTCCCTAAGCCCCTAAGTTTGCAAAAGCTATTAGTTTGTCTAGATAGATTTGGGGTTTTTTTGCGCGCATGTATTGCTGAAACTCCTTTTTTGTTCCATACTCCTTAAGTACAATTTATTATTTCTGTTTCCTCCCCGCTGTCTTCCTCATCGGTAGTTTCTGTTTTGATTTTTTTTTACTGGACGCCATGCATTTCTGAGGCTTCCCTTCCAGGTTGAAGCAAAGCTGAACATACCTAGAAAGAACAGTTTATGGCATCAGCTCTCTTTTAATTGTTGTGACTGCAGTTCAAAATGCTCCACATCATGGAATATCTTAATTCTGTGTGCTACAGGGTGGTGGAGGAATGTGGAACATAGAGCAGCCTGGATTTGAGCAGCAGCTTATAAACCTTGATGAACCAGCACAGCCTTAGTGTAGTTGGTTAGTTCCGGGAGCTTCTGACATGCTTCATTTGTCTCTGCACTGAGCTGTTGCTGTCCTTCAAGGTTTATGAGCTTGGTGTCTTTGCCAGAGTAAAACAGCAAAAATTGTATCCACACCTGCCTGATCCTGGAAGCAGTGAAGCATCTGTGGCCTTTCACAGTAGAGCTGGCTGCCAGCATTTGGGAGGGGTGCATCACCTTCTGATCTTATCTCAGGGTTATCAAAGTACTTAGATTTCTGTTAATCAGAGTTTGATTCCAAGAGAATTTGTTAATCTGCCACTCCCAGGCGCACTTCACATGAGGCACACAATAGTTATAAGGCAGCAATCAGTAAATACCCAAGTATTTAATAATTTTGTACTTGACATGTATATCCTGAGAAGAAGAGAACTGAGTTAAGATTGTATCATTTTTTAAAAGAAACTATGCTATATATGATTTGGTTATTCCATGAATGATATTGTTATAGAGAAAACTTTAAATATGGGCAGATTTTTCCTATTTAAAGTCTGTCTGTTACATCATAGTAGAAAACATATAAATATGCCTTTGGTGTTGTGCAAAGGAGCTTCATACTTAGAAGATGAACCAGAAAGGTCTTACTTAAAGTAAGAAGAAAGAAGTAAGAAAAAACCATTGTGTTAGGCAATGTTTCTGTTGTAGGTTTCTCTCAAAGTAGCAATGTATTACTACAACACTGGAAATCAAGCCTCTTTTTACTGAGAAAGCTCATATGTGGCATTCACTAAAGCTATAGCTTTATAGCTGGATGATGCTGACTATTTTTAAAGCGTATGTAAGAGAGCAAAAAAAGTGTGTGCAGCCATGCAAACAAGGACACTTTTAAAGAGGTACGGTTGTGAAAGGAAATAAAAGGTTATGCATTTTGTGTGTAAAATCTTGAACTATTATAGATGACCTTTCTGGGACTAAGTCATGTGTTGGGTTAAAAACAGTGGCCCTCTCTTTGGAATAACTGATAGTTACGTAACAGCCATCATATGGTTTATGTTCATAGATGTCTCTGTTCTGCTCTTTGATGTTTGCAGAACCATCACCATGAAGACAGCAGTAGTTCTTATTAAGTAGAAGTATATAGTAACATGATTGTTTTATGATTCAGTGATTTTTGTACTTTATAAACTCTAGAGTTGAAGCCACTTCTTGCTGCAATTAGATAAATTATTCTAAACATTAAAAAACAGAAATTAAAGGAATTTATTACAAAAAAGGTAATAAATTGTAAATACATCAGTATAGTGATGTTGGGGCAACATTATGCTTTTTAGTTTTATCAACACCAAAACTAATATAAAATCAGAATGCTTGACACATTGGCTTATTTTCTGACTGTAGTTTCATGACAGTTTTCAATTGACAACTGTTTAAAGCATTCAACAAGATTTTAGTAAGGAGGAATAGACCAGATATTTAAATTTACTCCATTTTACTTCTAAGTCTTAATAGAAATGCATATAGGGAAGGCTGTTAGGGAAAATGAAAATATTTCTAAGTATTTTTTTAAAATACTGCTTACGAGATCAACTTTGCAAATGTACTCAACGTTTCTTTCCAATCATGTTTTCTCCATTACTTGCATATTCTTAAATCTACTGCCAAGAAAAGATGTGATTATTAACTTCTAGAATTTTTTTTTAAAACCCATACAAGAAAGTACTTGTATTTATTTTTTTTCCTCATGGAAAACTTTTATAATTACAGTATGAACAGAGCATAGGTAGATGTTGAAAAGCACAAGACATGTTTTTGGTCAAACACAACCTTGCAGATTATCATTTGTATGATCTATAGGATGTCCACAGCAAGCTACTCAGTAAAGACACTGTTATCTGTTGCTTGCAACTTGTATTTTAGACTAGTGCAAGACTGTTTCTTATGTTTCAGGAAGTCTGCCTTCCAGATTCCTGATTTCTGGATGTCTTGGTTGTTTCTTTGATGTAATTTTTTTTTTTTTTAATATCCTGTGAATAAAAATCTGCTTTTTACCCAGGAGTTTGGCATTAAAGCTTAGCTATAGAAAACTGAGAGTTTCTATTTTTGTTGATTTCTGTTTGTTTGTTCTATTGCGTAGAAACAAGCTGCTAAGCAATATAGCAAGAAGGGTATGTTTTACAGGAACTCATCACTGCATAGTTCTCCATATGAATCTTTCCCCAGATGTGGAATTTGCATGACAGTGTTTTCAGTCTTCTAAGTACAAGCCTCGGGTAATACAGATAGAGAGTGTAAGGCCAACGTCCTATCTGAAATCTAGGATTAGGTTTGCAGCTTATGTCAGACAACAAAAAAGTCCTAATCACCCTTATTTTTTTTCCTGCTTTTGTTGCATAGGCAACTTAGACTTACTTTTTTCTTTGGGTTCTGGTTCATAGTCTCTTGAGTGTAGGTGTGAGAAACTAAGCGGTAACTTCAGGATGTGTCGTATCCTCAGTTATATAAACTACTGCTTCTGCCACACATATGGAAGAATAGGCAGGTGCTGTGTCAGATCCTCTACTTTTACAAATTGTAGCCTGATATTTTAGCACAAGGTGAAGTCTGTGGTTTAAGTAATTGAAATATGGACCTGTTACTCTACTTTTGCAGCAAGGTACTTCACTACAGGGGTGAATCAGACAGCTTGGGAAAGTAATCAGTTCCATTGCTTGCATAAAAACTAAAAATTGTAGGTATCACGGACTAAGAAAATACATTACCATGTCTACTGCATCTAGTTCTGGGCTCTCCAGTTCAAGCGACGGGGAACTGCTAGAAAGAGTCCAGCGGAGGGCAGCAAAGATGACTGGGGGACTGGAGCATCTTCCTTAGGAGGAAAGGCTGAGAGAACTGGGACTCTTTAGCCTGGAGAACAGAAGGCTGAGGGGAGACCTTATTAATGCCTGTCAGTATCTACTGGGTGGGTGCAAGGAGGACGGAGCCAGGGTCTTTTCAGTAGTTCCCAGTGACAGGACGAGAGGCAACAGGCACAAGCTGGAACATAAGAAATTCCATTTAAATACAAGGAAAAACTTCTCTATAGTGAGGGTGACGAAGTACTAGAATAGGCTGCCCTGTCAGGTTGTGAGCTTACCTTCTCTGGAGATATTCAAGACCCACCTGGATGCAGCCTGAGTCATGTGCTCTAGGGGATCCTGCTTTAGCGGGGGATTTGGACTAGACCTCTGGAGGTCCCTTCCAATGACAGTTCCGTGATTCTGGATTTCAAACATTGCATTAACTAGGTTCAGCTTGGTAACATAAATGGTGATGGCATCAGGAATGGTTGGAGGATCAGCCTTCATTTTAATGCCAATTAATTTATTTAACTTTATCATTACAAAGGGTGCTATGTTCTGGTGCTCTAGCAGCCCTCGTGCCACAACTTACCTTCCTGCAGTTCATGTGCATGTATTGTCAATCTAAGTTTTTAAGAATTAAATCCATAAAATATATTAAACTAGTTTTTAAATAATATTTTAAGTCTTTCAGCATTTTTTCCCCTAGTGTTTGTGTGGTTCACTTACGGTGTTGGTATTTTTTCCACCTAGTAACTGTTAGTGAATTAATTGAACATAAAGCTATTTTCAGTTTTAGGTGAAAAATGAATTTTCCTGCTAGTTGTTTCAGGAACACTGTCAGGTATTTAGACTAGAAGGGGAATAGCAGTGAGTTCAGCAGTGTGCATGATACACCTGAAGAAAATATTTACCTGCATACTTTCCCTGTTTTCTAGGCAATCTGAAATGGGGAGAGATGTGTTCATAGGATTGGCTCATATACACTTCATTTCTGAGCAGGGATGGAAAGAATTTTTACTCTTCTATTTTTTTTAACTTTTGCTGTACATGTGATTAGTTGCATGAATAGGTGTAACTAAAAGCATGATTCAAATGGGTATATTCTGTTATGTCCTTCCAGCTCTTCACACACTTTTTACCTGTATAGGCATTCAGGAATATGAATATCAAATATTATATCAAACACTAAGCCATCTTTCAGTTATTGCTTTTGTCCATTTCTTTAATGCATACATAAGGATAAAGAGTTGGACCTAATAAGGTAAGATACATCTTCTGACCTTTTGGAAAGTTTTGTCTTAACTGCTGAAACTGGAGAGGGGGAAAAAAAAAAAAAATCAGAACAATATTGTATCCCAGCTGTGTGTCTTCTCAGATGCTATCTAAGTGCAAGAGATTATTTTCAGTATTCTGGTCCCCCTTCTTAAGTAATATTCAAAGTATTTAAATTTGATTCAGTAAGGTTAATAATTTTTGTATAAGTAGAAAGTAGTCCAAGTTGTTACTCTTTGTTGGCACACATTCATCACAGCACGTACATGTGTGCTTGTATGTGGCCCTTCTTATTAAACTGGGTATGGATTCTCCATTTGTAAAGATGTGAAATCATTCACTTACCACCACCCCAAAGACACATTTCTCAAAAGAGTAGGAGAAACATCAAACTCATTGGGAAAGCCATAAGCTGTATTTTTGGTTAGTAGTATAGAGTATACAGATACAGTACTATCTGTAGTATAGGTAGCAAGAGGGCAAGTTGGTTTATGTTATCTGAACAAATAGGAAAGTTAGCTTTTTATAGTCACCTTATGTGAGCTGAAGCAACATTTCACTTAAACAGTTTAGAATAGAATGTATATTTAACTTTGGTGACCAGGAGTAAGGTGAAATACAATTTTTTTTCTAGCATGGGTGGAGAAGATGAGCTGAGCATATGTAATCCATCCTTTCTGCTGAAAAGGGCTGTTCTTTAGCCAGCTATGTGGTCCTGCCTCTTGTATCAACGCTCATTCTTTTCTGACATGTTGCTGAGCTGGTTTGGCTCATTAGTCTAACATAGGACCAAGTCATGAGAACAGAAGGAACACTTCTTTCCACTACATGAGTTGTCAGCTAGCTCAGCTTATTAAGGGGTCTTGTGAAATCATAATTAATGCTTGCAGTAGATACTTGTACTAATGCATACAATGAATTCTGTCTAGTAACAGGAAAATATAGTAATGTCCATAGGAATATACAGTGTTGCACAGATAAATAGTCTGCAAATTGCTGGAAGGTCCATTCATTCTTTTGGTACAGTTGTGAGAATTTTCAGTTTCATTGTGTGGTAAAAAGAAAGTCTGTTTGAAAGTTGAATAGTATTGCTTGAGTGTCTCAGATATACCTTCACAGGTTTTGTCCTTTTTTGTTTTGGAAATATGCTTCCAGATTGCTAATACAATTTATTAAACTGAAATAATTAATATGCAAGCAACTGTTAAGGAAAAATAATTGTCTGGCTAAAAAAAAAAAATACTTTGAAAATTAAGGACTTCAGTGGCAAGGGTAAAATATCCTTTAGATCGTTCAAAACCGGGTTTGTAATACCTTTTTCTTCTTTATCTCCTATTAAGGTCCTCGATGCCTCAACACTCAGCTTTGGAACTCGAGTCAGATGGTTTGCCATATGTTTTGTTGCTGGCATTATGTGTTCTGTCCTTGTAAGTAAAGTTTTGGTTTCCCCTGTAGTTTATTAATGTTCTATAATGGAACCTTGTTCACATTCATAGTTTATATATGATTCTGTTTGCTTTATTCTGCATGCAAAATTTTGTATCCATAAATTTAACTGGACATTAAATGTATAATTAGCATGTACAGACTGCTGTTCTGAAAGTTATGATTTTGACCACAGTCTTTTCGCAGCAGAGAGTATTTTTATTGTAGCACAATAAAATTTCTTACTAAAAGGTTTAACACTGACAAAATACACTAGATTTTTAATTTAGATTTCATAGAATCATCGAATGGTTTGGGTTGGAAGGGACCTTAAAGATAATTTAGTTCCAACCGCCCTGCATGGGCAGGGAAACCTCCCACTAGACCAGGTTGCTCAAAACCCCATCCAACCTGGCCTTGAACACTTCCAGGGATGGGGCATCCACAACTTCCTGGGCAACCTGTTCTAGTATGAGTGGTGTATTAGGAAGGAGATTTTGCTCTTCATTGTGCACCCATCTTATTTTTATCCTCTCCAATAAAAGAAGAAAAGGAGGGGGAAGCTTGAAAGGTTTTTAATGGCTGAAGAAACCACAAGGGTAGTGAGTGTCACTCACTAATCAATAGGTGATGACTGTGGTAGCACATTGACACCTTAAAAACCTGCTGCACTCCTGTTGATCTTACAATCAGCAAATAATCTGTTCATTCTTGAGCTTGAAGTGTCGGCAGGAAACTCAAGCCCGCAGTTGAAAGTTGAAATCTGTTAATTGATTTGGCCTGTCAAAGTCTGACTCAGGTAACTTGCAGTACAAAGCAGTTCTTTATCTGCATGAAAAGCCCCAGAAGCTGGTGAAATAACATCAGGAAATTATCCAGACTGCTGTTTTTGTGGGTTAGTTGGTTTTTGTTTTTTTCCCTCTTTATAAAGTAGGTTGTTACTTTTTATGTTAGGCTAGTCACATCCTTTGCAGTTTTTGTGGAGACTGTCAGGCAGATTGCCTTGACGTACAATGTGTTCTGGTAGTAGGATGGAGAAACTTGTCCTGTGTACATTAGTTTCACCATTATTTAAGTGACTGCCCTTTAATTTACCATGACTTTTTTTTTTTTAAACCATGGGTAAGTACATAATGACAGGAAGGAACAGCTGTGGAGGAGCAACCTGTTGGTTGGTTGAGGCACTCACTTAGAGATAGCCAGTTGCTGGATTCTCCTGCAGGTGGAAGCTTCTGATTCTTCATCAAAACTTGCAGTTTGTTAGACTCGCTGATACCAAGAGATAAGCTAGAACAATTGTACATCTTACTTATGAGATATATTATTTAGATGGCAGGTAGTTCGGTAAAGGAGCTGGAGAGTAGTATTCTTCATCATGATATCTATGCCAAGTACAGTTGACACAAGCTCTGGCTGTATGCTTGTCTTAGAGAAGGGGAGAGTTATAGAGAAGGATCTCAAGATTGGGTTGGTATATCCTGTTTTTAGAGTGGTATAAGCATTATTTGCTTGGCTCCCTCCCTCAATATTTTTTTTTTCACTAGTATTTAACCAATATAATAACAAATTCTAGTACACACCATGTTTGTGCTTTAACACCAATTTCTGGACAGGTTAACATTTTATTTCCTGCTATTTTTTAGTGTTTAATCTTTGTGCCTATTCTAAATCATGTGATATGAAACTATGAAACAATGAATAAAAGCCTTTAGGACCTTGGTTTCCTAATGGTTTCTTGAGCTATCTTGAGCTCAACAGATAAGAGTCAAACCTCTGCTAGCATGTTTGTGGATGAATTTCATGGAGGGTTTGGAGGCAGCTCCCTGGATAACCTTTGCCACATGTGGGTAAGAGCTGCAACTCTACCTTCTTCTGGTTCAGGTTATAAACCTTTTGCTGCAGCACTAGTGAGGCCCTCAAAGAAATGCTGAGTTTGTTCCTTACAAACTTGTGTACATGATCTTTAGATCTCGTATGTCTGAAACCTGGTATATTTACTATATTTTTGGCTGGTCAAAATTGCAGGTGGTGTTTTTTTTTCTTTAATGTCCTCAGGCATTCTTTGTAGAATACATTTACACTTTTCTCTTGCAGCTTTCTACTATTGCTTGTAGAGTGGTCTGTCCAAACTGACACCACAGATTCCCACAAATACAGTTGCTTTTTTTTGTTTGTTTTTATGAGTCCAGATGGTTAGTCAGAGGAGAAAGGAGGTGGTGGATACTACTGCAGCTTTATGACGTTTTTTCCCGTGTTGCAGAGGTGTAAAATGTATAGTGGGGCATTGTAACAAAACTGAAAGTGTCATAAATAGAATATAAACAGTACGAATAAATGTTATAAGCAATATAAATTAACATTTCCTAGTTGTAAAAATATTGTGAAATACAGTAAATCAATACATTATTTTGCCAGGAGGTGGCAATAGAAGTATGCTGAATATTGACTACTGAAAATCTGAGAACAGTATACTCTGCTGGTATATGTTAAGAGCAACAGTCTTCATAATCTGAAAATATAGACTATAAACTTGAAATAAATTGAATTAACTAATTACAAACATACAAATAACCTATCTTTTCTAGGGAACAGCACTGTTGTGGCTCCCAAATGGCATCAAACTTTTTGCATTGTTTTACACCCTGGGAAATATTGCTGCGTTAGCCAGGTATGGTTTCTTAATTCTTGTTATTAGGAAAGTATCCTTTTCGTCTACATTTCCATTAGCCATTTACTCTAAAATGGTTATCTGTTTATATTGTCTCTAAACAATGTTGTTTTCAGATTGAAATGCTAGTAATGTAAAATCTCGTTTTTCTTACGGTTTTAAGGTTATCAGAATTGGTAAATATCATTAGTTATTGCTCCATTGTGATGTCTGCCGTGGTTTGGGCCTAACCCAACAATAAAGAACCAGCCGCATTGCTGCTCAGTCACAACCCCCCACACACACTGTGGGATGAGGAGAATGGCCAACTAGAAGCTTGTGGGTTGAGACAAAGGGCAAGGAGGGTTTCACCATTTATGGTCATGGGCAAAATAGATGCAACTTGGGAAAAAATATTAATTTGATTTATCACTAATCAAATGCAAACAGGACACAGACAACACAAAGAGCAGTGCTTAAATATGTTACCTCCTCCCTTCTTCATGGGCCCAAATTACTTTTCTCTACCTCCTTCCCCCTAATGGCACAGGGGGACAACCTGGAGAAGGCTCCAGGGAGACCTTGTAGCTGCAAGATCCTGTACTGAGATGACAGGGGGTGGCAGTTTTAAATTGGAAGATGGATCATTTGTTTAGATATTAGAAAGAAATTCTGAAGTATGAGGATGGTGAGACACTGGTTGCCCAGGGAAATTGTGGATGCTACATTCCTGGAAGTGTTAAAGGCCAGGTTGGATTGGGATTGGAGCATCCTGGTCTAGTGAGAGGTGTCCCTGCCCATGCAGGTGGGGTGTAACTAGATTAAGTCCTTTCCAACCCAAACCATTCTATGATTTTATGCGGCCTGAACATCCCTCATTCTTACCACCATGTTTTTATGATCCCACATCCTTCAACTAGCTAATTATTTTTTTTATTCTATTTCTTCAGGTGTTTGGTGTTTTTTTTACTTAATTTTATGGCCCAGCAGCCAAGAATAAAAAATACTGAGAAAATATTAGTTTGGATTGTAGTGAATTTAGAACTTTTTTTTTTCCATTTTAATTGAGAAAACCTTTTTTTCCATTTGGTACAGACTTCTGATATCTGTCTATGCAACTTAAAGAAGAAAAACCCGGTGACGGGGATATGTACATATTGTTGCTGGCAGGAGGACATCTGTATGTGGGAGATCATGGGTTCAGTTTATTGCTTGGGATGTGGATTCCCATCTTTCTTCTTGGAAGATGCGTGCTTTACCAGGCTTATGGCTGGTGTGAGGTGGGAGCTCTACCAAGCTCTTCCCTGCTACTGATTGTTTCATTTCATATAAAAAAAATATTAAGTAGAAAATGAGATAAACTAGGTTTCCTGCTCTGTAGTAAAGCATTCAGAACACCTCAAGGTTACTCTCTCTAGTTAAATGTTTTCTACAAAGCAGAATGCCTTCAATGACAGGGAAGGAGGAGCCTCATCTCAGAATATTTGAAGCCAGATAATTACTCCTGTGGTTGTGAATACTTGGTTCCCATTTCTTTGCAAGAACAGGTACAGCATAGCTTTGCTGATGGTTTTCATTCTCTTCCTTCTACTACAGAGTAGAAGAAAGCAGGAGGATTTAATACAAACCACTGAAGTTTTTCCTTCTGGTTTTGCTTGCTGAGTTGGGGCAAAGAGTTGCAGATTCCCTGGAATACTGATTGGAGCTACTTGCACGCTGTCTGGGCAGGAGGTTTATTGTTAAACAGAAATTTTCTGCAGAAGTTGGCTCTTTGTATTCTTTCCAGTCTTTTGCAAGTCAATTCTTAGAACAGCCTTAACATGTAATTCACTAGACTTCAACTTGGCAACGCTGTGCTGTAAGTGGTAATGTTTTGGGAAGAATTTAATGACCAAGGGTGACTCAATACATAAGCTGTTTCCAGGACTAAATTCATGGAAATTTCAGAGACCTTTCGTTCCAGCAGGTCTCTGTTGCCAAACACTGAAATGCCTTTTTAAAAGCTTATGTACTCCTCTAACTGTTGAAAAACTATTTAATTACCTATTGTGTTTTGCAAAGACTTATTTTAAAGTGCTTTACCATTTGTTTTGTTTTTTCCCTTCTATTAGTACATGTTTCCTGATGGGGCCACTGAAGCAATTAAAAGCCATGTTTGAATCCAAAAGATTAATAGCTACACTTGTGATGTTGGTAAATATCTTTACTTCCTTTTGCTAAAAAGTTTTCTTTAGCCTCAAAGCTATATCTGACACTTTACTAAAGGGAGGTTATTTCTCAGTCCAACTCTTCTTTGTACTAAGTAGTAAGTCAAGCTGATGACCTCATAAATAGTATCTAACTCCTTTCTTTGAGCTTGTCTTTTTGTTTGTTTGTTGTTCTTTTTAAATCAACCCTTTGTCATAAGATGTTCTTCAGAAAATATTTCTTACTAAATACTAATATTAAGTTGATTCTTTTAAATTTGTTTTCTAAAATTATTTAAGAACGAGGCTAGAGAGAGACTTTTCAGGTGCTGTGAAGAGTCAGCGGTCACCAAGTCTAGCTTGACAGTTGTTTGTTGGTTGTTCTATTTTTGTATAGCTTAGTGCTTTAGCACTTAAGAGCCACAGAGAAAATTAATTTCTCTCTGCCAAAGTCTGGGAAGCCACATGTTCAGCTTCACAGATCTCCACTGTGAGGTCCTTGACTTCTTTACTTCCGTGACTGTAATTTCTTCTGGAAGGATGGAGAAAATGGCTGTATCCCCTATCTTGGAATTCCTATCCCAAAACTATTAAGTAGCTGAAAACAAGTTTCTGCCCTTACTGCTTCTCTGTTTATTACTTATTTCCTCTCTTGTTCCTCCCGATTTCTTTTAACGTTTATTTTTGAGATGTAGTTGGCTGTCGTATTCTCCCTATCGTATACCTTTCTTTTCTAGTGTTTTACAGCTGATGTGGATAAGGAGACTCTTCATTCATTCTTTTGGAATGGCTGTGATATGGGTTGTATATTCTTTCTCTCACACATCCCCCAAAAAATTACTATCTCATTTGAGAAACTCATGTTTATGCACATATTTTGGAGAAGTGACTTGATCCTTTCTTGTACTCTGAGCTTTGTTAAAGAGGTGGTTTGTTGCCATCTCTTCGAAATCACATCAAGTTACAAGTCCTAAGCAAGTTAGGTTACATTTCATAGGTCCGTAGTAAAAATGTACTGTGATATCTCTAATCCTCAAAAGTCTCTGCTGAGCATGGATTCTCCAGCACTTTACAGCTGTGGGCTTTTTCTGATTGAGCTGAGCACCTAAGCTAGACAGTAGAACAGCCAGCACAAACATTATTTGCTCTTTTATCCACTATGCTCGGACCTGGTGACAAAGAAAAAAACTTGCTCTTAAGGCTGTAGAAACCATACAAGTCAGGGAAATGGAAAGAAAACAGAGAAAAACATCACAAACCTTCCTGCCTACCTGTGCAAAGAAGCTACCAACAAGGTTAGAAAGAGAATGAAGAGCTTTATCTAACAGGGAACAGGAGTGTTGGATGAGAGCTAAGACACTTAGGATGGAAAACTTCAGTAGACAAAAACAGGTACACTTCTAAATTTTAGAAAACTTTTCATGTATTTGATTGTATTCTTCCCTTCCTAACACAGAGCTAGAATTGTAGGCAACTCAGGAGTCACAGATGTTAGGAAATTTTTAAGAGTTGTATTTTTATTTATTTCAATCAAATGTCAACAATTATTGTTTTAAGTGATAGTTACTTTACAGTTTTGTTTTGTTTTCTACTATGTGTAATGACAAATGGAGGGAGTAAGGTGAGATTTAGTGAAGAAGTTCAAAGTGATGCTTCCACAAATGATGTGACTAATTTGGCAGAGTAAACCATATCATTGTAATGTTCCATCAGAGGTGTAGAAGTAGCTTGAATAAAGTTCATGTGAGCTTTTTCACTGTGTATGAAGCAGCTGCTCCCTAGTGGGCTCTTCATATTACTGCCAGAAGATGGAAAAAACACAGGCAGAAGAAGCAGATCCTGTGTTTGCCAAATAACCGAAGTGTGAATGGGTGTTTTAATACCTTTCTTGATAGATGTTGATGTTATGAATACTAGATTATCACTTAAACAATAGAATAGTAGTTCCCAGATTACTTGGTTGCTTTCAAGTAAGCTTTATTGTAGAAGCCCACCTCTTAACAGACCTAACACATAAGGCTACACAAATCTGATTCTACTCTTCCTGATGCCTGAAGTCAGGTCCTGCCCCTTTTATATTCTAAGACTTACTCCAGCCCTTCTGGCTATGGAGCACATCATACTGTGCTTTGGAAAACAGCACTTTACATGGAGTTCAACATTTAGTCACTGTATGACAACCTTTTAGCTCTGCTTTTTTCGTGAGTAAATTCTGAAAATACTGATTGCCCCATGAAAACAGTTAGTGCATTTGCTTTGCTGTGTATCTGAGTATTCATTCTTTTCTTTCTTTAATTTTTTTTTTTTTGTGACTAATTTGGCAGAGTAAACCATATCATTGTAATGTTCCATCAGAGGTGTAGAAGTAGCTTGAATAAAGTTCATGTGAGCTTTTTCACTGTGTATGAAGCAGCTGCTCCCTAGTGGGCTCTTCATATTACTGCCAGAAGATGGAAAAAACACAGGCAGAAGAAGCAGATCCTGTGTTTGCCAAATAACCGAAGTGTGAATGGGTGTTTTAATACCTTTCTTGATAGATGTTGATGTTATGAATACTAGATTATCACTTAAACAATAGAATAGTAGTTCCCAGATTACTTGGTTGCTTTCAAGTAAGCTTTATTGTAGAAGCCCACCTCTTAACAGACCTAACACATAAGGCTACACAAATCTGATTCTACTCTTCCTGATGCCTGAAGTCAGGTCCTGCCCCTTTTATGTTCTAAGACTTACTCCAGCCCTTCTGGCTATGGAGCACATCATACTGTGCTTTGGAAAACAGCACTTTACATGGAGTTCAACATTTAGTCACTGTATGACAACCTTTTAGCTCTGCTTTTTTCGTGAGTAAATTCTGAAAATACTGATTGCCCCATGAAAACAGTTAGTGCATTTGCTTTGCTGTGTATCTGAGTATTCATTCTTTTCTTTCTTTAATTTTTTTTTTTTTTTGGCATCTCTTTGCAGCTTTGCCTAGTGTTGACTCTGTGTGCTGTATTCTGGGTAAGTGCTAAGACTTTGTTCCTCTAAAGAGCAATCTAGCTTGGTTAGTTTATTAATTATATTACATTAATTGCATTAATATACAGTTCAGTTGTAGAGGAAAGATGAGCTTGTGTGTATTGTATTTATGTTTTCACCTTAAGTTCAGGTGGAGTGATGAGCCTCCTGGCTATTAAGCAAATGCCCCCTTCCACTTGCATGTCATGTCGATGAGAATATAAAATCTAGATCATCTGGTTCAGTCTGCAGACCTCTGGAATAAGAATCAAGAAAAGCAAGTTAAAATACACTTGCATCTTAGTAAAGTGTACTTCTGTCAGAGAATATATAGTGGTATTTAGAAGCCACAGGTGCAGAATATTAAAATTAAGACAAAGGAGGAGACACAGAATGAGTACCTTCAGGCATCTTGGTTGAAAAACTACCTGTAGTTAATGTTCCATAGAAGTAAAAATATAGCTGAAGTGAACTTCCATATTTGCACAAGTACAATATAACGAATGAAAGTGATAGTGTTAGCACTGATGCCATTAAGTGTTTTGAAAGCTAGAGAAGGGTTTCATAGTATGATGCTAATAGTGTGATGGATAAAATGAATGGAACATTGTTAGAGTAGAAGTGAGTAGCAAATTAAGACAATTATAGGCATCCTCAGTCAACTGAATTTTTGACTGCACATATTGTTGCAATTGTTTTAGTATAGACTGATGCAACATGGACTGACTTGAAATATTTGCTTTATTTTTACTTAGTGGAACAAAAGAGGTTTGGCAGTGTTATTCTGCATATTGCAGTCCTTGGCAATGACCTGGTAAGATTCTTAATTTCTTCTCCCTACCCGCATTTTAAGCCTATATATATATATATATATGAGCTTTGCATAACGTAAGTGTGCCAAATGCTAGCCTCAATCTGTTTTTCTAAACTAGGCTGTGTAACTTCAGAAAAATCTATATGCAATCGTCTTGCAAAAATGGTAATTTGAAGTATATTCTCCAATGTGTGAACTTATTTGAGGCATTATGAAAGGAATACATATGCAAAAAAATTCTCATGCTTTTTCTCTGCTGTGAAAGTAACCATATAGTCACATGCTTTGCTTTTGATTATCCCTCTTTTTTGAGTTCTAACTAAATTTTGGATTTTGAGGTGGAAGAAACTAAACAACATCATAGGGTGTGCCCTGCCCCAAGAAGATTAAGCAGCACTGGGTAAATTTAGTGCAGCAGGTACTATGATGGCCATCCAGACGTGCTCAAAGGCCAGGCTTGGGAACATGTGAGCACAGTTAGGTGAAGGCTTGCAAGCCTGGCAGAAGTATTTGAAGTTACTGCTTTCTCCACGGAGATATAACTGAACATACTTGATCTCTTTGCCCCAGGTTAATAATTTGGTAATACAAAGTGTGATCCGAGATGACCACAGTTCTTGTTTGAGCTTGCCCTGAATGCCCAGTGTCTGTACTGAACTTAGATCTGAGGACACGTAACTATTTGTTCAGGACAAGGACTGCTGGGCATCGTGCTGGGCCCAGTTAAATGCTTGATATTAAACAGAAGGAACATTGCTAACTATGTTCTACGTGTTTACAGCAGACGGCTTCTCTTTCAGTGTCCTAGAGCTTGATCAAGTAGGGCAGGAGAAAAACATAGCCTGGAGACTTGCAAGAAGCAGGTTTCAGCAGATAATAGAATTACCAGCTGTTCTGAGTGTCACAATTGTGGCGTATTTTTCATACTTCAGCATATATCTGTATTTAGAATTACATAAATAACATGAATAGATGTATATATCATGATAATGTATATTGTCTTTTAAATTGGAAAAAGTTGTCTGTCATCTTGAAGAATACAGTTTTCCCAGAAATCTCCATTCCTGTAGAACCTGGTGATAGTAAATCTGCTTTTTAAATATATGTGGAATAGAATTTACGAACTATATTGAAAAAAAAGGTTAAAAAGGGTAAAAATAAACCAGGAAATCCTGGCAATATGTTTAGTTCTCAACTAAGTGTCTTCTTTTCTCAGGTAAACATTAGATTGAGTGATTGATTAGGTAATCTTGTTTAAAGTTTTGTTCTAAGTTGCTTTTAGTAGTGCTTGACTAAAGTTGAATAATTGGGCTCTAGGAGAGACATGAACAGTGTCAAATATACTTCTTTCCTCTTTTTTTCAGGTATAGTCTGTCATATATTCCTTTTGCAAGGTGAGTCTGCATAATTAGTTCCTTCTTAGCAGAAGTCAGTTATCTTTATGTTGGGGTAGGAGGAGTCCTTAAATTCAGTATGTGAAAAAAACATCTCCTCCCTTTCCTTTTAATTTTTAGAAAATGACATAGCTGAACTCAATGCTTAATATATCTGTTAAATACAAGGGCATAGTAATTATGTATTAAATGTATTTCTAGTGTTCATCACTGGAAAAAAAAAAAGGGTTTTATTTAACTTCTCCAATGATTTAAAAATGTATTGATGCAATAGTGACTTCTCCAGCGCTTACATGAGAGGTAACTGATGGATCCCAGGTCTTAGTTAAAAGCAAACAAGCCATCATAGTTACAGCTCCTAAGTCTACTTCTGAATTCCTCCATTTTCAGGAGAGGCAAAGGCAATGCTTTGTGTTACTTTTCATTTTTGCAGGCTTCTCTTTTACATTTCACTGGTGTGCCCAAAAAGGGACCGAAAGCTAGGCAAACATATGGTGAAACCACATGCAAGGAAACAAACTGAAGAATATTATTTTTTCTAGAATGTTTCACATAAAATGCAGTTTGCCCTTTCAGCAGTGTGGGGGTTTTCTTAAAGTGCTTCCATGTTGGTATATTACTTAATGAGGTTTTCTGTAGTGAAAATGAGGGAAAGAAAAACAAAAACCAACGTATTGTCTATCCCTTTCATCTGATATCTTCCTGTAGCATTTCTGTGACTTTGCCAGAATCTCTCTACATGGATAATATCTTTTTTTAAAGCTTTCACAGTTGATCTAGGGAGGTTTAAATGGTGTGTGTGTATATATACATATATTATTTTTTAAAGGTAGCAGTTGACAATTAAAATGGATTAAATACTGAACTCGGGTTTCAAGTTGCCATCTTACTGGTTTTGACATCTCGGGCTAACCCAGTCACAAGTACTATTCTGAATTCTTATAGTTCCTGTGGCTATGTAGCAGTCTCAGTAGGGTTTGGTTATTTTGTTTGGTGGTTTGGTTTTTTTTTATGTTCTGCTCTGCACAGAAAACAAGTTGAGCCACTGGTATTTTCTTCCCTACCAATGGTACTTTGTGATCAGAAAAGCATGAGGTTACATGCATCACTTAATTTATTTGGGTTTATTTTTCTATTAGATTTTCTGAGTCAACTGAATTTGACATAGGCTGCTTTTAGTAGTACAGTGGTATATTTAGGGATTATTGAGTTACTTGCTTATGTGGAATGCTATCATAAATTTATTGTATAGATTACCTTTCTTACAGAAATAGTGATCTAACCCATGTTTAGTGACAGTGAACAGTGTTAGGTAGTTTGTTTAACGTATGCATTTATCTTCATTTCAACAAAATTGTCATTACTTGATTTAACTCTGATAATGTTTTACTCTTAACAATTGACTTGTTCATTATTTGTGAGAGGGGTTGGGGAGGAGGAGGGTGTTTATTTTCAATTAATGGTGGCTCTCCTGCTGGCATGGCAAAAAAACCCCACCTAAACAAACAAGCAAGCAAACTCAAAACAACAAAAACATACATACAATGACTAAGGAATCAGGATATTGTTTTTCTTCTTTATTTCCAATGGACTAATTACAGAACACAAATCCCACTCCTTAACAAGTTGTTTTGTTTTTGAGAAAATGAAAAATTAAGGAGACTGAAGTGAATGATCCAACTAGAATAGTCAGAAAACGGGTTGTTTACTGCTGGTTAAAGAAATAGGTCCCTTCAGACCTTTCAAACCTGAAGGCTGAGCCAGCTCTCCATCCTGCACTGTTAGTGCATGCACTTTAAAGCCTGTGCCTTTATTTTTCCTGCAACAAGATGGTCTAACTCAAAGTTGGCTTGGACTCAAAGTACTTGTTCTTTGCTGATTGCCTGGATTTGGCATGCTCCTCAGCCCTGCACTTGCTGGCCAGCTCTTGCAAAGTAAGGTGGTAAGCCACCAAGTGTGCTCCAGGACAGTTTTCAGCACTGTGTCTGCAATTCAGGATGTGTTTCATTGTAAACACATTGTGGGAGACTTAGACGATATGGACAGACCTGAGCTTCAGAGTGGGCTTGAACTGGTGCTGTATATGTACTCAATGTGTAACTGTAGCTGTTAAGATCCTGAGTTTGATAAACTATTGATTTTTGTCTGTAGCTCATGTAATATTTTGAATTTGAAATATGTAATGGTTGATATGTATGCAAAGAAAATAGCAAATATCTTAACTGGCTTTTATTTTTTTTTCTTTTTAAAGGGATGCTGTGATTAAGTGCTTCACGTCCTTGCTAGGGTAAATTAACAACAGAAACCACTGTATGCTTTAAAACCCAAGTTTTACTCCTCAGTGAATTTTGCTTGGAAAACTATACTTTATCCACTCATGAAACACCCAGTAACAATTTTGTATTTGTCTTGCCTTTTCCATTTGGGGAATTACATAATTTTACTAGAAACAGTTTTTAAAATAAATAGGGTGAACTGTTTGTGTTTACCCTGAAACTTTTAGTCTTTTTTTAGCAAAAAAGTACATTTAAATACTTTGTGCAGAGTTGTCTTAAAGCTACCTTGCATCTGGTAACAGTTTATTCCCCAGTGGAGGCAGCAACTAAGATCTGGGTAGTATGCATAAAGATGTCATTTAAAGTTCTGTCTAAAACTTGCTCTGTGCCATTTATGTGTGTATATTATTCATTGTATGCTTTTCCATGGACAGTTTTATAAATGTTGTAAAGATTTGGTAAGTTATCATGAACTGCTCCTTTGAAATGTCTATACATGTGCCGTATGGGAAAGGCTTAATGAGAATATGTGAAAGATCTGTTTAAAGCTTGTTGGATTTTATTAAAAGCTGTATTTTAAATGATTTTTTTAAAAATATGTTTAAATACTTTTTACTAAAAGAACCTATGGCTAATATATAAATGAGATTTATGAAATAAATCAGTTTAAAGGTGCCTGAACTATTATTTATTTAGGAATTTCCTATAGGGAGCTGAAAGTTTCAGCCTTACACTTCAATAAATATGACATTATCTAAAAAAAAGGGATATGCACATGACTAAACCTAAATTTGGTATTAGATTTGCAGATGTGACTAAATTCTCTTTGGGTTCAGACAAACTGTTCATTCTGACTTAAACTGGTAACAGATTGAAGTTGCCTAGCTACAATTAGATGTTATCATCTCTATTTTTTTGCATCTTAGAGCTATTCAGTTATTCAGGAGTGAAGTTAAATTCTTAATGCTTGGTGGCTTATAATATATTACAGACGGTTCTTTTTAGCACGGGTTGGATGTGCTCAATTACATGCACTCTAAACCCCAGTTATTTTGGCTTATTTTTTTCCACTAATCCACAAACAGAAGAAGGAATGGTTTGGAAAGAGCTGAGCTGCAGTGTCAGAAATGGGGAAAACCCCCTGTCTCCAATATTCAGAGTTCAGGCTAGAGCTGAATTCCAGTAGGCTCCTGCTAAATCACTGTGTATGTTGCACAAAATAGCAAACTCTCTTGGGGAAGCTGTATGAAGAATGAGTGCAGGATCTTGCAGCTAAACTGCCAATCAAGCCACAGCCTCTAGCTGCTTAGTAACTATAAACAGCCAGTGAGCCACCCTTCCTGCTGGAGAGAGGGGCCAGGTAGTAGTCCAGACCCCGCAGTAGGCACTTGGGATCATTAGCACTGGGTGGTGTGACAGCCTCCAGCTCTGGTCAGAACCGGTCCAGGTGCTGGGAAAGAGAGGAGCTGGCTCTAGGCACCCCCTGGATTTTTAAAGACTTCTGACTACTTTCTAAGATGTGCATAATGATCTCTGGACCAGGCTTCTCTTGTCCTCAAACTGACCTGTGAATTTTGAAATTCCGTGTAGGTGCGAGTCTTACAGCACTATTGCCCATTCTGCCTGCCCTTGCGCACAGTAATTCAAGCCCGATTGAAGTTTAGACTGGACATTAGGAATTCTTTTTTCCCAGAGTGTTTAGACACTGGAATAGGCTGCCCAGGGAGGTGGTTGAGTCACCATCACTGGATGTGTTTAAGGGTCGTCTGGATGAGGTGTTGGTGGATATGGTTTAGGGGAGAACTTCGTTGAGTAGGGATGATGGCTGGACTCGGTGATCCCACGGGTCTTTTCCAACCTGAATAGTTCTATGATAAGCAGTCGAGGAGCCCCGCTTGCCGTTAATGTTTCGAAGGTGGAGTGAGCGTGCTAGAGCCAAGTGTCGGAAGAGTCTGCCCCTTCACACTTGCCCACCCTGGCGGCAGGAGACCTCCCGCCCCCGCCGCCCCTTTCCCGCG